GGTGGTGGTGGTATTATAATTATTATTATTATTATCATTATTATTGTTATTATTATCATTACCATTTTTACTATCATTAATATTACTATTATTATTACTATTATCATTATCACTATTATCATTATCACTATTATCATTATTATCGCTATCATTATCATTATCATTATTATTATCATTATCATCATCATTGTCATCATCATTATCATTATCATTATTATCATCATCATCACTGTCATCATCATCAGCAGCAGCAGCATTATCATTAGTGTTATGGGGAAGGCTAGATCAGTAGCATCAACTGCAGTTGGTGTTTACAGTGGGCTATTTTTAGAATAGCACATGTTCATGTTTACATTTTGTACAATATCCAACAGTTAAAGTTTCAATGTCTTTCCAGGCGTTTTTGACTTCATAAAGTCTTGTTGGCCTGGTATCCTACACAGTAAATAAAATACCTTTCATTCATTCATTGAGTGCATGGAGGTATTAATAAAAGTAGGCCTACTTAATTCCTTCAAGTTGAGTAAAAAAAAAATATAGGCCTTTGGCTTAACCCTCACTGCGAGCAATTCCACTTGAAAATCATTCATGCATAAATATAATCGCCCACTCTTCTCATCTGCAGGGCTATTTTGATGATTAGTCAATGAAAACATAACCATTAAAATAATAATTTTCCATCCTTTTTGAAAATTGAAAATACCAAAATGATCGACCATATTCACAAAGCCTTCCCCTTAGTGTTATTATTATTATTGTAGTAAGCAATATCGTTATTATATTTCATAATACAATTGCAAACATCAACATTATCACCATTATCATCATTATTACTCAGCATGATCAAAATCTTACTATTGACAACAGATTTTTTATTACCATCACCATTAACAGGATTAACAGGAACAGTAGTAAAAATATTTATATTACCGTCACGGTCTCCATAGTTAACATACAACATTATTATCATTATCCTTCATCAGACCCACAAATTACTGCTATCCTTGTTTATTTTCTTTTTCTTTTATTTTGTTTCTCCTACGTGATTACCGCCATGACTATATGTATTTTCCGCGTTGTTATTAATTGTCACAATATTTTACGCTCGTAGTTCAAACACAAACCATCGACATGTTTTGGAGGGAGAATGACTTTCAGTTTCAGTGAGGAGTCAACAGGCATTCAAGCGGGATGTGTGCCAATTTTGCTTGTAGCATTATGGGACAGCAGAATGTTTCGTTCAAATTGCTAGACGTGCTTGAAATTATGTGATTTTTTAAACTCTGTGCTCTTATCGTTTTTTCCTTGTAGTATACTTGAATTATATATACGTGTGTGTGTGTGTGTGTGTGTGTGTGTGTGTGTGTGTGTGTGTGTGTGTGTGTGTGTGTGTGTGTGTGTGTGTGTGTGTGTGTGTGTGTGTGTGTGTGTGTGTGTTTAGGGGAAAATATTAGGGAAATGTTTATGATACTGTAATAGTGTGTTTGAGCTTCTGATTTCACAAGTAAACGCTCATTCACAAGTTAAAGGGATTTTAAATTTAATATTAACGGTTTTCTTATCATCGAACATTGGTGTTATTGTTGTTGATGTTAATTTTATAATATCATCATTATTATTGCTGTTTTCTTGCCATGCAGCTGAGAATGGCTATCATTATTATCTTTATGATTATAATTATTATCATAATCATTTTTTTTTTGTTACCATTATTGTCATCAATTATTATTCCTCTTATTAATGTTGTTATTATCATTATTACAATTATTTTTGACGTTATCAATATTACCGTTTTATGTTGTTGTTTCAAGTATCACTTACAGTAGTACCAGGAGATACTATAGGAGTACTAGTTGTAAACATAAACTACAAAAGACTATTTGCGATAATTTCTGTTTAAATGTTACAGCTTCATCCGTTGAAAGAGAGAGGCCATGGGGCGAGTGCTGGAGCTGCTGAAGGTGTCCGCCCTCTTGCTGGCTGTGGGCGGGGACGTGGCATGGGCGCGACCGAAGGGGGAGCTGTGGGCGGTGCTTGTGGCGGGGTCGAGCTCCTGGATGAACTACCGCCACCAGGTCAGTCACCCGCCGGACGCCCTCGGGAACAGACTGCGCATGTTCGGCTCGGTATCTTTAGCCCAAGGTCGTGTGAGAGAGAGAGAGGTCACTTCCATGATTACGAAATAAGCACGTTTTGTGCCGGAGGTCGTGATAGCGTAGCTGAATGCAGGGTTTATATAAGTACATACATACATATACCTTGGGATAAATGAGGGGTGGGGGGGAGGGGGGGGGGGCATTTGTAGTCACAGAATCCAATTCATAGAGATCCCAGAAGCCATTCCATCACCAGGGGGCATAATCGAGACTCCCACAGGGTGCCTCTTCTCCCCCAGGCCGATGTGTGCCACGCCTACCAGATCCTCCACCAACACGGGGTGCCAGACGACCATATTATTGTCATGATGGAGGACGACATCGCTTACAACCCTGAGTGAGTACGACCTCTTGTGGCTTAGCGATGGGGTAGTGCAGTTCAACCTGTCAGTCTCTTCTGACATGAGTATGCATAAAAAAGTAAAAAAAGAAAAAAAAAAAGATAAAATTAATTTTTAAAAATTGAATTTTATTATCAAAAACGTTAACTAATAATGATAATTATGTACTAGTTCATGATCATGATTATCTTGGTCAGTGATTATCACTTAGCATTTTCGTTTTCGTTAGTTTCATTATCGTTGTTGTTATTATTATTGTCATTATCATTAGTTTTGTTATAATTGGTTGATCATAAAAAAGTTAAACGGTCTCATTAATACGAAAATGAAGACTAATAAAGTTTTTTATGTGAATATATAACTTAAAGAGGAAAAATACCCACCGACCTCACTCGCCACGCCATTGCCAGAAACCCCGACCCCGGCGTGATCATCAACCGCCCCGACGGACCCAACGTGTACGAGGGCGTCCCGAGGGACTACGTCGGCAGCAGCGTCACCCCGGAGAACTTCCTGAGGGTGCTGAGTGGCGACGCGGAGGGCTTGAGGGGCGTCGGCTCCGGGAAGGTCGTGCGAAGTGGCCCCAACGACCGCATCTTCGTGAACCTGGTGGACCACGGCGGGCCAGGGATCTTCGCCTTCCCTCGCTCGCTCCTGAAGGCCACCGACCTCGCCGACGCCGTCCTGGCCATGCACCGCGACAGGAAGTTCGGCGAGGTGAGGGCGGCGGGCGGGGCTTCCGGACGCACTGGCTTTGTTATCACTGCAAGGAAATTGTTTTCCTATTGTTCTATTTTCATTACTATTATTATTGTTATTGTTATCATCATCATTATCACTTTGACTATTACTACTACTGCTGCTACTACTATTATTATCATTATGATCAAATTCCTCATAGTATCTGAATAACCACCTCTTCCTGCGTTCCCATCAGATGGTCTTGTACGTGGAGGCGTGCGAATCTGGCTCTATGTTCTCCAACCTTCTCCCAGACGATATCGGTGGTAAGAGCTTTACAACACACTAATCTCCTGTTGTTTTTCTTATGATTTGGACAACCTGTGGGCGCATTTTCAGTCCATATTCAGAGACACTTCGGACACCGGTCACGGAGAGTTGGACCAGCATCTCGCGCCCGTCAGCCAATCACCGTCGAGCTATCTCGCGCCGCAGCCGCAGCCATCGCTGATTGGTTGCTGGGCGCGAGATGCTGGTCCGGCTCTAAGGTGCCCGAAGTGTTTCTGAATATGGTGTGTCTGCAAAGCAATTGCGGATCTACAAGTGGGATAAATGTGTAGTTCTTATGATTAATTATGTCCACAGGTTGTCCAGATCACGAAGAAAAAAAAATAGACTGGAGATTAATATGTTATAAATACTTTGTTCCCTGATATAAAGTAATTTTTTTTGCATTTTTCTATTTCCCCTGATCCTCTGTCAGAACTTTTTGCCCCTCCATCCTTGTAAAACTTTATAGATCCCCAAGCATTACACAGCTATTGTTTTCATGAATTGTGGAAAATATGAAATCTATGTTTAAGTTATATAGTTATATTACCTTATCAGGTCCAGTAATCTTCTAAAATACTGCAATATTAGCAATGCTGTGATTATTTTAATAACACTTATAGCGGCAGTAATATAGACATATCACAAAAGGAACGACTAAGCTCTTGCAATGAAATCAACACTATGAAACCTTAATTCCAGTGTGTCCTTGCTAACTGCCTCCCTCTCGCGCATTCCCAGTCTACGCTGTCTCGGCCTCCAGCCCCAACCAGCCGTCCTACGCCTGCTACATGGACGAGCACCTCAACACCTTCCTCGGCGACGTCTTCAGCATCAAGTGGATGGAGGACACGGACAGGGTAAGTGGCTTTGCCCTTGCTTATTCATCCTGGTTTCCCTTTGGCGTCTGAGCTAGGGCGCTGACGTGCATGGGTTCTAGTGTTGCGTTATGGAATATAGCGTGTGTGCGTGTGTGTGCGTGTGTGTGTTGTGTTGTGTGTGTCTGTCTCTGTGTCTTGGTCTAAGTCTGTCACCGAAAACTGATAGTCTGTCCTCTCAATCCACTTCATAAGCTTATCACTATGTCTGTGTGTTAAGAAAACAGATGAATCAACCCAATTTTAATGCATATCCGTACAGCAACATCAGAACTGATACATTCTATATGCTACTATGTTCGCATATTTAGTGCCAATACACCATAGCCGTTATCACAGTTTCCTTATATGCCGGAATTACCTCATGGAAACCGTAGACTTCTACTCCCCCCCCCCCTAAAAATAAAAAAAATAAAAAAAATAAAATAATGATAATAATCTTCCTCCCACACGCAAATATATGCATATATATATATATATATATATATATATATATATATATATATATATATATATATATATTATATATATATTGATATATAATAATAATAATAATAATAATAATAAACAGGAAGACATTCGTCGCGAGAGTCTGAAGAAGCAGTTCCAGATCG